CCAATATATAAAATCTTAAGTTTCATGGCTTCAAGTCTCCCAGCTGCTCATTAAAGAGAATATACTTAATAAGCCTACAAAATAAAATATTATAACATCATTTCATTTATACAAGAAATCTTTTAACTTAGAAGACTAAGAACAATCTGGAGCCTCCATCTCTTTGGAGTTTAATTCTAATACTGCCACTATCTCCCATCATGATCCTACTTTTGTAGCTCAATTTGCTCATATTTAAGGCAATGAATCTAATCCAAGCAACTGCTGGTGGATTTAAAACATGGTCATGATCATTAATTGTCCTCATATCAAAATTGAATACACAGGCTTGATCCTTCTCCATTCTTGTGATGCAGTGGGGTGTGGGGGAAGAGGAGAGTAGAAAGAAGGAGAGGAGAAAGAGGGTGGGGAAAAGGAAGAGCAAAGAGAGGGAAGGAGGGAGGGAGGTGGGGTCTCGGTGTGTGACACACCTTTTGGAAGCAAGACACAACTGTAAGAGGGACTTTACCTAACAAATGCAATCAGTGAAACCTGGTTTCTTGTACCCTCAATGAATCCCCAGCAATTAAATATATATATATATAAATAAATATATATATTAAGCAACAAGATACACTTGAAGGCAATTAAGTACACAGCATTAATTACTGGCCAGCGACTGATATTTATTTTTTTCCCAGCTCTCCTTAGAAAATCTCAAACAGAAATGTCAGTGGAGTAATCTTTAAATATATTAAAATATATTAAATATATTTTTTAACTAAGAAAAAAAAAAAAACATGGTCATGAGCTAGGTACAGTGGCCTATAATCCCAGCTACTTGGGAAGCTGAAGTAGGATGATTACTTAAGGCCAGGAATTTGAGACCAGCCTGGAATATACAGTAGAATCCCATCTCTAAAAACCTTTTTTAAATTGGACAGGTGTGGTGGCATGCCTGTAGTCCCAGCTATTTAGGAGGATGAGGCAGGAGGATTGTTTGCACCCAGGAATTTGCGGTTGCAGTGAGCTATGATCATATACCACTACATTCCAGCCTAGGCAACAAAGCAAAACCTATCTCTTAGAAAAAACAAAACAAAAAATAACAGGATAATGATTAAACTCAGCAGATGCATGAGATAGATGGTAAAGCATCAATGTGACAAAACCACTGGTGAGAAGGAAACCCTGGTACACAGATTACCTTGGTATGCTGCAATAGGGATAAAGTAGTAGTTTTGTACTGTTAAGAAAAAAGTATAATTGTGATGGATATGTTAATCAGTTCAATGTAAGCATTTCACACTGTATGTCAAATTAGTACAATGCACCCCATTAATGCATCATCGTATATAGTTATGATTTAATAAAAACAAAACAAAACAAAAAGTAGTTTTGTCTTAAAAGTTAATGAAGTAAAGTGATTTCAGTGTGATGCTCCCATAGAAAAAAATATTTAATTACACTTAAAATATCAATATTTATTTCATTAAGCAATTTCAGTTTCTTTATTTTCCCACCACCAAGAATTTAATAAGTAGCTAAAACAATAGAACCTCCATAGTTGACCATCTTCATACAATGACTACCTCAAGTTGACCTGATTTTCACAGACCAGACATTCACCACAATGTACATATCAGTTCCTTATGTTGACCACCTCCACACGTTGATCAGTTTGTTACAGTCCCTTAGGTGCTCAACTCACAGAGGGATTCACAGTAGTTAAATTATCAAGAGTATGAGCACACAATGACAGTACCTACTTCATGAGATCACTGGAGGTTTAAATAGGATAATGCTTGTAAAACATATAGTAAGTGACTAATAATTATTAACTATCATCATTCTTTCCTTGAAAATAACCACCAATTTTATAAGATTAGGACATTTAAAAAACCACATCCTCTCTGCCAGAATTACCCAAAATGTTTCAGAAAATTAAGGAATTATACAGGGAGAAAATAAAATTACTTGAGAAGTTTTATAAATGAGGCTATCATTTTTTAATTCTATTATTCTCTTGATATTTATCTGAAAGAATAGTACTTTATTTAATAGCTGACCATTAATTTTAATTATGTATTACATGCCAGTTACTGTCTTACACATTAAATGCCCTTATTTAGTTCCATGAAATAGAGATCCCTATTTTAGAGACAGTGAAACTAATGTTTACAGAAGTTAAATAACTTGCCCAAGGTCATTAAAGCAAGTATGTTCAGAAGCAAAGTTCAAGATCTCATGAACCCAAGTCAAGTAAGTATCTTTCCATTAAATCAAATATCCAAGGTCTATATCCATTATTCATTATCTCTAGGTGAAAATTTTATTACATTTGTTTTACATGACTTGGAGAAGAAACAAAGTTTGTGAAAGGAAAAAAAAAATACTTCGCAACTCTAACCTCTAACAATTTTTAATTCTGAACTTAAACCTAAATATTTACTTATTTTATTAGCTGTTGTACACATTATGAGCCATGAACCAGTGTAGGACTTGCTTTTTAACATGTGCCTTACATTAACTGATGAAAGACCTATTTCTTTGCTTAATGATTTTATTCATAAAGTTTAAAACTACTGATCCCATGCTATTATTCAAGGTATTAAAGACAATACCTTCTCTAATAAAACCCTGTGCAGTTGTTAGGTGTTTCCCTATTGTTGTTGATGATATATGTAGGAACGGGAACCTTTTTGTTCCAGGCAATGTATGACATTACATTTACTCTGATTAAGGGTTTCTGATCCACAAGGAAAAAAAATAAACACACTTATAATAGCTATATACAAGGGAAACTTTAAAAAAACTTAATAAAGAGCTGGCTCAGCACCCGTAGCATAGTACCGAGGGCAACATAG